AACTGAACACCAACTCTTATGGTAAATAACAAGGTAACGGATGAATACATGGATAAATGAATACATAAATAAACAATTTTATATGTCTCGAGAATGCGAGGCAAACTCCGACTGAGTGCCTCGATCAATACAAAGGTAGTATTCGATACGTAATCATTTAGACTGATCGTCAGTATCGGTTTAGAAGGCCATGATTCTCAACCGGCATCTAAGTTGATGCACCAAGTACGATAAGCGAAATAAGTAATCGGTCACGTTACTCATAACAAGCAGTATAAGCCAGTTAAATCATAGTAGTAAAATGAGAGATTGTCCATGGAACTCATCTTTCACGGTCTCCAGATTACGGTCGATGAAGGGCTGAGGTCAAATCGCACACGTGCAATCGCTCGTGTACGCTGGTTCAAGCAGAGAACCCTCTGCAATTGTTCTAAGAGCCGCTCCAAAACCATAACGACTACTATCCATAAAGTGGATATAATGATAAATACTAAGTGAGCCAGCTTCTGTATACGGGTTCGGATCCCATAGCGACCTTTCATTAAAAAGCTGCAGTCCAGTAAATGCCTTATGGCTACACGGCATATACCTCAACTACGAAGCAGCCTGAGGTAGGCATGAGTGAATTGTGATGTTCACCGATCACACATGAGCAGCAGGCCGTACAAGCCATAATATGAATGCAGGTGTGTAAATTGAATGACGAGCTTGTTTCTATGCTTGTGTGACTATCGGGTCATAGTTAATCCTTATTGGTTAACCTGAGAACGAGATGCTTAGGAGGGAAGGCAGAACTGGAGGGGATATATATATATATATATATATATATATATATATATATATATATATATATATATACAGTCGATTCCGGTTAATCGGACCACATCTGGACCAGACCATTTTGGTCCTATTAAGCGGCTGGTCCGATTAACCGAAGTTACCCGATGTAACAAGATGGGATGTGCTATACATAACATAGGAAACTGCTATTATGACCTATATTAGCGGCATATATTTATAGCAAACAAACATAAAAGAACTGCTTTGATAACGAAGTTTGTTCACTGGAAAAGCAATTTACAAACAAATTCTTCGTAACGACCTACAAGACATTCAGCATGCGAAGTACAGTTTTATACAAAGGGATTGCCGAATTCCATTCAGCGTTTGAAGACCGTATCCAGTGTGGTTTGACGCATTCTTTTAACAGACTGCATTCGCACAAAATCACCACAAACATGTAACGCAGTAATAGGACTACCTTCATTTCCTTCCTGCATGAAATAGCGGTGCAATGTTTCAATGCATTTCTTTGCATCCTGTTTTGTGACTGGCATCAACACGTTAGGGTTCTCTTCATCACTTCCATGGTCTTCTGTTGCTGTCGTGTGTTTAGCTGCTATTCGAGCAACAATGGCAGCATCGCATTCTTCATTTCCATCATAGAGTTGAAGTTCGTTGTCGATTGACAAAAATTCTTCGTAATTTTCAACTTGTTTCAGCTCCACATTCTCGCCGTCATTTGCATTTACAATCACCACATCCACATCCATTTCCGAGACAATATGCTTAAAGCCACAGTGCGAAAAACAGTTCCGAATTGTCGCACTGCTCATTTTTCGCCAACTTTCGTCCACGAATGTAACGGCCTGCAAAAGGTTGACCTTTGCACTGAGTTCTCCGGCCGTCGAGGATGAGGTCAGCAGGCCTTCCTCAACTGATTCAAGGATGTAATTCCCCAACCTTGAACGATAAAAGGCCTTCAAATTTTTTATTATGCTCATGTCCATTGGCTGTATCAAAGATGTGATCTTGGGACGCAGAAATTCCATCTGGATATTCTTCAAGAAATCCAAATTTGAATATGCTGCACAATTGTCGAGAAGTAATAACACTTTTCTCGACTGGCGTTGTAGCTCTGTGTCCCAATCCTTCACCCATTCTTTAAAAAGTGTAGAGCGCATCCATGCACTTCTGTTCGCACGATACACAACTGGTAAACTGTCCATTCTGAGTCCCTTAAAGCAGCGAGGCTTGGCACATTTTCCTATAACCAGCAACTTTCTCTTGTCTGTTCCGGATATGTTTGAGCAGCACAAGAGAGTTACGCGATCCATTGCTTTTTTGCAGCCAGAGAGATTAACATGTTTGAAACTTAAGGAGCCGTCCGGTGTAGCCCTATAGTACAACCCGGTTTCATCAGCATTATAGATGTCATCTGCTGGAAATTTTTCAAGAAGCTCTGGTAGTTTTGTTGATTTCCATTCTTCAGCTCGAGCGCTATTGGCACTTTCTTTCTCACCATGTGCTTTCTTAAATTTTACATCATGTCTAGATTTCCATCGAGACAACCAGCCGTCCGTAGCTATAAAATCTTCGTGGCCCAGCATTTTAGCGAGTTCTTCTGCTTTGTACTTTAACATTGGGCCACTTACTCGCACCGCTCGTCCAGTAACAAAAGGTAAACCAAGCATTAAGAGCCTCATCGACGTCTGGATACTTGTCTTCACGCTTCCGTTTACGGGAAGTACCTCGTCGTCCTTCACATTGTGCCCATTCTTCTCGCAGATCTTTCTCTTATTTTATCAGGCGCGATATTGTAGATTTTGCCAAGCAGGTAATTTCCACCAATCGACGCCGACTAGTGGTTGGTCCCTGTTCCTTGATCTGATCTAGGAAACGAATCTTCTCAGTTAACGTCAAGTCCCGTCGTGGTATTTTCTTAACATGCAACAAGACACGCACAGTTCACTGAGGTGAACTCGAGTCTGTCTCCCGGGTATTTCTATGTTTGACCTAGCCACATGCTGTCCTATGATTTGCCGGACCTGTGTGTCCGCGATCACTTGCGGTGCTCGAGAGTAGGCCCGCAATGCGAGCTCGGGGCATTCGGCTCAATGGACGTGCGGTACATCGATCGAGCGGTTAACGACATGTGAACAAGCATGTATGTCTTCGCTCCGCCTACAAGTGTTGGAAACTACAGTCAGTTTCGGGCGGTTCTGAAGCCAATGATATAGATGTGCCTCAAGATTGCCACAGTTCAGTTTATCCAAATGCCAACTCGGATTACCGTAGCTGAATGATACGCTTTCTTGCCCGACATATGAGCTGTGGGTTTAGTCCAGACATCCAGGCCCAGAACTTGATTTTAACACCTCTGTTACCTGCCACCATCCATCGTCTGGTCCGATTAAGCGGAATTCCGGTCCTAATAAGCGGCTAAAATTAGGCTAGCGTAATAGGATTCGTTTCGGTTCTTCAGAATTTGGCCCGAATAAGCGGCTGGTCCTATTAACCGGTGGTCCTATTAACCGGAATCGACTATATATATATATATATATATATATATATATATATATATATATATATATATATATATATATATATATATATATAGCCCTTGACCAATAAACAATTTGCAGACAGTCACGACACAGGGAACAGCGAGAAAACAAAAGAGGAGAGAAGAGGCTGTCAAAGGAAAACTGTCTCCTGACACGTTCGTCATTGTGTACGGTTTCGTGCCATATTCGATGACTTTTCGAACCAGGTGCGCTCGCTGTCCTTTTGCTCCCAAACCGGAAGTCTGGAAAGGTTCACCGTGGCCAACTGTAGTGCCAACGCCTTGACACACCGGACACAGGCTGTGCGTTAGCCACCTCGGCGTCGGTTCTTGTGCATGCAAACAAAACGCGGTGGGGCGACTGTTGAGCCGGCATAAGGAGGAGGTGCCCGAGCCACCAGCGCACACTCAAGAAAATCATGTAGCCCAGTTGTCGACGGAGACTGTCGGAATTGATGCGTTGAGCAAAAAGAAACAGTCTCTGGACATCGCTCACTCGAACGGGCCAGATATCGCAGTTATACGGGAGCATTGTTCATACCGTATTATTGTCGACTTTTGTGAAAGGCTGGGATCATGCCGGCGCCAGAGATGTCAGAGGTTGACAAAGGCTACTCTGGCTTTGATGATGGGTAAATTATTCATACCTGTCAGTCCACTTATGTTGATGCAACTACCAAGATAAATGAGCGTGTCGACTAATTTCAAAGCACCGGAACCATAAAGAACCTTAAACATATTATATTTTTAGGATGATCATTCTATGGATTCTGACAACGGTTCTCCACATTTACCTTTTGATTGCATAATTTAAGCCACAAGGCAGTGGGCTGAGGTGAGGTTATTCTGTGGGGTTCAAATGGGGCCTTTGATACAACAGCTTGGTTCACAAAACAAAGCGGAATAGGCGAACCTTGGTAACAATCCTCACGAGTATATGGCGCCTCTTGAGTACGGTTACTCGTAAACACAAAAGTCCGGCTTAGTTTTTATGGGCAAGATGATCATGTTGGACCATTTTCGCCTCATCCAGGTTAGCCACAAGTAAGTCTCAACAGGTTTTTCTCCCGCTCAACATGGTACTGTTACTAGGAGGCACATGACAGCAGCGAATGTGCGGTAGTAGCGATCTTCAGCTGTGACTGAAGATATATGGTGCTCTCGATACATAACACTAGAGCTGAACTAGTTACCTACAGTCGGCCAACTCTAACCGCCGGGTTTTAGGGGAAAATGTGCATTAATCTGTCCCTAAATGTTCTGGAAGCACAAGCCCAAAAGCAGACATGCTGACATATTTCCAGCTGTTTGTTTGATGTGAATGATCCTAAAGTTACTTTAGAAGAGGCCATCTGGTATAGCTGAGTAGATAAAGGAGGTAGTTGCGCTACCGCAACGATCCAAGGATTGATCTCGTACTTATTTGTATGAATGTGACTTCTGGTGTCTACTCGGACATGTGGTCTGCTCGCCTCATTTTATCCTACAAAAGAAACAACGTGCATGCAAGGGATATATTAAAAATGGTTACATACCTTCTCTGTTATTTGCTAGCAAGGGATCAAGTGGGGTACTCACATCCTAACGCGTTATTCTTACCTTTTTGAAAAAACTGACGATACGGTTGGTACATCCTTTCTTGTTTAATGTGCAGGCAGTACTTGCTCTGGAAAGCCTACGTCAACTTGGATTCAAAGTTCACCTGGAAACATTTTATCAAACCAGCACCATTGGTCGAATTCTGGACTCGCTCGTTCCTCCTGGTTTTGCTGTACTGTCTACCGGTAATCTCCTGGAAAGTCAGTTGATGACAGAAAGCTTGTTATCGAAACACATACCTTTGAACACTGAGGTAAGTTTGAAACCAATGTGATGGAAGTTCAACGCAATAAAAATACTACCATACAGTTTATTTTGTCATGAATCTAACATTTTGGTTTGACGAACTACTAGAACATCTCGTTAACCATAGCCAGTTATTCAACTAAGGCAATAGCATACTTCAAAGAATGCGAAGTACTTTGGCAGCGATATGTATTTTTACACGGTTAATAACATAGTTATGAGACCAGAGAAAGAATTCTGTGGAATTGTTATTACAAGAAGTTAGTGCTAGATAAAATTACGTTCAGAAAGTTCCCCTACGAAGTGTCTATTGTATCAAGGAGGCCGCAGTACAAAGCAGGATTGTATCAGTCCTCAATCCAGAGGTAATAGACTCAGCACACAGCATAATCAGATTTAACCATCCGGATTTCACACAACCAATGACAAGAGAGTAGCTGTGTTGCAGCCAACTAGTGAAACATGGGTAGGGACATGATAAGGAATCGGCCACAACAACCACTGCTCCTTTTGAAGCGTTGCATCACGCGGGCTGGTGTCGATCGACAGGCTTCGAAGGTCTGGTGGACCGGTAAAGCTGAATTCGGGGTAGCGAAGATTGTTGAGATTGATTAGCTTGTCTACTGGCGGTGTGCAACTGACATGCATTTACAATTAAGCCGTTCTCCAATCGATAGGTTCCAGGGTTTAGTCTCTTTGTGATTTGCAACGATAAAAATAGAGCTGGGAAGTAATTAGGTCTGGCCCGCTTTTGGGCTCGAAAGTATGCACCAGGCTGCATAGCAGTTCACGTTCTGGCGTAGGAATTTTGGTAAAGTGCTATGCGATTTGAAACTTCCGTACATCCCAGATGACAGGTTATGTGCAGCAGTTAGTTTGGTGCGTAAGAGCCTTCCTAACATCAGCTCCGTCGGCTTTCTTGCGGTAGCCCTGTGACCGAAGTTCTGTAATTAATTACAGTGCTTAAGACAGCATCTTACCAATCCAACCGTCCTAATTGGTTGGTCTGGATGGCTTCCTTGCGAGATCGGTTAAGCCGCTCGACAATACCACTAGCCACAGGATTGTAAGGTGCAGTTCTGGAATGTTTTATGTCATGGCACTGGAGGCGAAGTGCAAAGTAGTGGCTGCAAAATTGTGGTCCATTGTCCGTGACAATTTCTTCCGGTGGTCCGAAACGACTGAACAAGTGTTCTAGTCATCATAACGCAGCCGATGGTCGCACAAGTAGACTTCAGGCCACTTACTGTAAAACCTGTAGCTACCAGTAGTGTTCTCTTATTCGTAAGTGCGGTGGCAAAATGGCCTATAATATCAATGGTGATCTTGACCCACAGCTTCATCGGGTAAGTAATAAGCTGTATTGGGGCTTCGGTTGGCAGAGAATTTTGTCCGCCAGACACAAGACCTTACAGTTAATCACAAATGCCTCAATGCTAGATGCCATCCGTGGCCACCACTGGTAGTGATTCGCTCCGTTTTTGGTGCGCACAGTACCCGGGTGTGCCTCATGTGCAAAAGCAAAAGCTTTTATTGACTGACGCGGAGCTATAAAAATCGAGCCACGCATCAGACAACTGTCCATCACTGATGGTTCATTACGAATTGGTGCATATGAAAAAGAACTCAACGGGGACTTTGTAGTTTTTAGCCACCACTGTCCCACATGCTCGCTGAGTGAGTGTAGTAACGGGTTGTTAGCATTTTCCATTCGTAATTCCTCGTTCATCAGCGCAGTTAGGTCGGAGACAAGGTCGGAAAGTAATACTGCCTCTCTGAGTCCATCCTTGTCATTTTCCATATGCCACTAGATGCACCCACACAGAGTAGTCGATGGGATCACATCACTTGTTAGCATCTCTTGCAGGGCCGCTTAGACACGTTGACATTTTTCTAGCAGAATAGGCGAAGTTTGACAAATAGCAATGGGTTTTACATCCTGCTTCAGCTGAGTGCGGTGCACACCACCTGGAATACATCTGATGGACTGCTGAAAATGCTATGCGAAACGTTCATGCCAGTATGTCACGTTGACAGAAGAGACATTCAGTCGAAAGATGGTGCTACTTGCAAAGCCACCACGGCGTTTCTTCCAAGTAAGGATCATCTGTCGTCTAAAGAAATGTACACTGTAACATCCGCAGATACCAAATGCAGCCGTAAAGGCAAAATAGTTGATCCAAATATGCTTGAGGTGTTTACACTGTAACTCAAACATGAATGCGAAGTGGGCTGTGAAGTATACAGGGATAAGTAGCGTTCGTAAAATTGGTAAGGTACAATGGTAATTAGAGAATCTAGGCCACAACAGTGTCTTAAACTCGGGAGTCGATAGGTTCCGAGCAAAAACAACTTTGAAGCTAGTGCTTTTACGCTGAGCACAAAACATGTTTCGGGACGTTGCTTGCATTTGTAGACTACCTTGATACACGTTAAGAATACGGTATGAAAAATATTGTTGCACAATGAACAGTGATTTATCACGTGTAAAAAGCATGCGCTAAACAAGTCCCGTAGTATGGTTTTCGCGGAAATGAAAAATAAAAAGATCAGCGAATAAGTAAAGCGCCATTTTAAGCGTCCACTGATTTAAATGCAGTGCCGCATAACGATTGTTTGAAATAGGAATGAGATGTGCACGCACAAAATGGATCAGAGAGCAGTTAAATCTCTGTAAATCCGTAAGGAACAAAATGGAAACGACAACTCTCATTAGTGTGTTGATTCATTTGACCGATGTGATCCGTCATTCCAGTTTCAAAAGAGCCATGCTCCTCACAAGGACTGTTTTGTATGTATTCTCCCCGCCAGGTTGCAGAGAGGGCTGTTAAGCACATGGTTTGTTTTGCGTTATTTCCTCCTCCGTGTGTAACGGAGTTTATCAATTAATCCCCCCTAAAGCTTGTCATCAAGGCGTTTTTCGAAGAGCGTTAACCTAGCGGCAAGGATGATGTGAGTCGGAAGGGCTTCCCAGGCACGGGACACAAGGAGGGAGAAAAGGTTTCGTCGACAGTCAACTTGACTTTAGTACTCAGCTAGTTTGAACTGATGGCCTCCTCAGGTTGGAAATTAGGCTCAGCTGCAACATATTGCGACATGGATGAATTGGGCTCGTCAGTATTAACTAAACTATGATGAGGTTCCCTCGCTGACGTTAATATTCAGCACTGTACAATCTTAAGGACTGCAGTCTGCACTGGTAGGAAAAAACGAAACAATTCTATAACGAGTTTCGTTGCTCTACATTATGGAGCTTCAACTGTGTTGGTGTCGCACCTGCGTCAGGGACGCCAGGCCCGGATTGCATATTCCACGCGGGGCCTCACGTAGGCTCTCATCATTTGCGGAAAGATTGATGGCTCGAAATTTCCGAAATCCCTCGCTAAGTGTCCGAGATGTTGATCGTCTTTGTTTGATGCCTTTCCAGCCTGTCTCGAGCAGTCAAGACCACCCCGCACGATCACGCCGAGGTAGCTTTCCTGGGAAGCATGTTGCAACTGCTGGTCCTCAAGTCGTTATTCATAGGTAAGCTGATGGCGTATGCACGCGGCTTTGCACTTCGACACGTTGAACTGGAGCAGGTTATCGCATGATCACGTATGACCCCTGTGGAGACCGTCCTGCGATGCTATGTGTTTATACGCCGTCCTGATGTCATGACGAATTTTGACATCCTCTGCAAATAGTAAGAAATTTGACTGTAGTACACTGGCAAGATCGTTAACGGATGCTAGAAATAAACGTGGCCCAGTATCGATCCTTAGAGCACGTCACACTAGACGCCATTTGGCTCGGAAATGGAGTTGCAAACTCTCACAGTCATCTGATGTTGAGTGAGGAAGTTTTCCATCCAACCGAGCACAGGGTCACCGATTCAATAGCTTCGAAGATTGGAAATATTTGAGTGTTGCTTCCCTCAACACTGGCACGACACGACTGCGGTTTCATCCTGATTTGGACTCAGCAGGTAGAGAAAGCCTGAGCTAGGGCAGAACTCAGGGCCTAGTAGTTCACGGCTGACGCCCTGAATACTACACTACTGAGATCTGCGAGCAACGCTTGGCACAGCGGAAAGCAATTCGTAGTTGAATTTGGGGAACCTGCTGTGTGGTTGCGTTGCGACACGTAAACTCCATTGTGACCTAGGTTCACATTGAGGTAAACCTCGGTCACTCCGATCACGAAAACCGTAGGCGAAATGGAAACAGTTGGGTGGTGCGCATCCCAACACTGGCACACAACGACCGCGGTTTCAATTCAAGTGCCCTTATTCATAAAAATATTGTAGAATATGTACTGAATTGCTACTGTAGAGTAGTATGGGAAGTAATATGGGTAAGGCAGGTCTTAAGAACAAGAGAAACGACCAACGCTTACTCTTGCGCCGCTTTCTTGGACTGGGGTAAATTGATGAATGCAGTTGTAATGTATCCGAAACTATATTCCGCAACAACAGTGTGGAAAGAGTGATGCACAAAATCTGAGAATGAGCACCGTTTGTTTCGTGTTTGGTTGACGGACATCACTGATTATATAGCGTAATGTAAGTGGATAAGCGAATCATCCAGACTTCTTTTGAATACCGTTAGTGTGGGGGAAGAAACAACAAATGTGGGAAGAAGGTTCCAGTGTTGGCACACACGAACGGAAAAGAAATTCCGACGGCATTCCAGCCGGCTGTATTGTGTGGTCAGCTTTAGATAGTGTCCTCTGAGTGGGGTATTGCGATTACGCACTAGTAGGTGCGGACAAGAATGGTTTGGATTCCTCAGGATCATATAAATCATTATCAAGTCGCCACGCAGGCGTCGATATTGTCCACTGTAGACCCCGAGTGTTTTCAGCCTCAATCGGTAAGGGAGATGAAATAGGCCCTTTACGTTCTTGGTCGTCCTTCGTTGTGGCAGTTCAAGAGCGGTGACATCTTGCTTTTGCCATGGCTGCCAGGCGTGGATGGCGTACTCAGAATGAGGTCGAATGCAAGACTTGAGCATCTGAGAAAAATTG